CTTGCTTAGTCTTATCTCGTGTTGAAATTGTTCTTCACAAGAAATGATCTGAAATAATCAGTCTTAGCTTTGACTTCTGACACACCATAGTTGGCCAGGTCCTTCTCTATTCTTGGCCACAGGTGGATGTCATCACGGAAATTGCTAACAATTGAGTCTTGAGTTGAATTTTGAAACTTGCTGTTGATATGCTCTAGTAGTTTATTCACTAAGATCTTGCCATCTTTACTTACAGATTTAACATCAGAACAATGCCAGCTTTTTCCTGGGGAACAGTTTGCAGAACAGGAGCTTCCTCATCAATGTTATTCTCTTTCATCAGCTCAAATATTTCATCTTCCACATCAAAATTTTCAAGTGTCAGTTTAAGTGTTGTAACTTTTGTAATTAGTGTCTGTACTTTAGTGTCATTTTTCTGAAGCACAAGACTTAAGATCTGTGAGATATGAGAACAACTCAGCAAAAGTTTGTAAAAACAAATTTCCTTCACTTAAGGTTAGCAAACTTGTTGTTTTATTGGCTTTTTCATCTGTATCTATTACTTCCACCTGATCGTGCTCTACCATTGCTTTCCAGTTTTTGTTTACTACAATCAGTGCTTTTTTCCATGTATGATGCCCAACATGCACCATTAATGTTAACTGGGTTTGGAACTGTGGTATTTGTAGATCTTCCATCTATTTGTAATCCTTTCCAGTTAAGAGGTAAATAGTGGTTAAATGGTATATGTTTTGTAATGTTGTCAACTTTTTCCATGTATGCTGCTTGCTTGGTAGTGAGTTTTAGAGGATAGTTGGCACAGTGGAAGTCGATAACATGTTCACAAGTACCCTGTTTAATTGTGGCGGCATGGTCACCTTCATTTCTCAACATTACAGGGGCACAGTTTGCAGAACGGGAGCTTCCTCTTCAATGTTATTCTGTTTCATCAGCTTAAATATCTCATCTTCCACATCAAATTTTTCAAGTGTCAGTTTAAGTGTTGTAACTTTTGTAAGATTACAGGGGCAACATCATTTACATTTGTGAGACAGTCCCTCCAATTTATAGTCACAATTCATTTCCATAGCCTTCACCAAGACTCAATTCTCTGGATATCAACTTTTTTCGTATTTCCACGTGGCAAGAAATAAATACTGGATAAAAATTTCAACACGGATCCTAATATCAATAGTTTCTTCCTTAGTCACAGCTGAGTCAGTACAAGAATCAATAATGAGCCCTCAAAATTGAGATTTTATCATTTTATATCTAAGGTTTTCCCTTGTTTCATGGTATGAATGTTCTTGGTTGTTTGTCACTTGCATGGTATGCATTTAGTTTTGTGCAAAAATTAGTGCCTTGAAGTGACAGAAGGCTTCAGGATACGGTTTATCATGATATGCAATGTAGAATGCGGTTGTACAGTGTTCCTGGTGGTGCATTGCCAGCCTTCGATACTTATGCACAAACAAAGTGAGTATTAATAATTTCATCTTTCTTAATTGAATCAAGCTGCAATGATGAACAACCAGTTACAAAGTTGTTTTGAGCTCTTTGAGCAGTTTTATTGAAATCTCTACACCATGAACATTTCATGTTTCCATTATCACACACACACACACACACCCTTCTTTCCATTTTTTTAGAAATTGCCTTGTTTTCTTTTTCTTAATGGGTGGGTCATTTGATTCACTCTGTTCACTGATCTCTTTATTTTGGTAATCTAATGTACTGGAACAAAATTCACCACCAGCAGACTGGCATAAGAAAAAAAGATTAACTTTAATAATTTAAGAGAAAAAATTAATTGTTTTCAATAATTTATATGTTTTGAAATATTTGTGGTGTTTTTCTAATTGGGAAAGCAATGATCTGCTGGTATTCACGAAGGTGATTTAATGTTAACCAATGCAACAGTTTGCAAAAACTCATTCCTTTTGTGTTAAATATAATTAGATTTTAGTGTGGCAGAAGTACCTATTGTTTCAATAATTGATTTTAAGTGTATTATAAACTGCTGGATTTGTAAATAGCACCTAATGTAAAATAACAGCTAACATATTAAGTACTAGTAAAGATATTGGAACTCAGAACTCCAATAAAAATAATGCATAAGCTTGTGTGCCATTCAAAATTCATGATAGACTAGTCTACTTTACATTTTTACTAGAGATGCAATACGATATGTATCTAGATATTGATGCCATTATTCAATATGTGTCTAAATAGAGAAGTTTTACCAACGGTTTGTTACAGAGCTTGACAGTCTTGTCTGTAATTTATTATCTATATTACTAACATTGTCTCATTTAAGTACTTCACACTTTATAGTGCTTTTTCAAGTCCTCAGGTTTGATCAACTAAATGGCAGTTGGTAAGAGAAAGTAAAATAAAAAGTTAATATCTGTCTATCTATTTTGTTATTGTTAATTTATGTTGCTTTGCATGTAATGTTTTTGATAAAAGAAATTGAAGACAACATGTAGTACTCAATACTCATCTTTCTTTATCAAATCATTAGTTTCTAGCAAAAATACTTTATTAGCTATTTAGTAACAGTGTAATTCCATAAGTAATGGTCCATGCCAAGTCATCCCTTGTGACAACCTCAAAGTAAACATTGTAATGGCTGGAGACGGCTTGAATGGGTAATGAAGAAAAACTTTAATATAAGTTTTTCTTCATTACCCATTCAAGCCGTCTCAAGCCATTATTAGTCTCAAATTGGGTTCCTCGTCATTGAAAGTAAACGTTTGTTGTCACATACAAATTATGGTCATTTTGGATGATTAAAAACCCCTTTATTTTAATCTTTGAACAGTTTATTATCATCTTAGTAGGAAATCAACTTCTATAGTCTGAATTTTTTGAATAATACTTAAACAGATATTTCATATTTTGCGATATATTTTTTTTTATTTCTTATAAGGCATTATTAATTATTTCTTCCTGTGATTTAAATGTACTTCGCCTTTTGTTACTTCCAGTTATTGTAGGAATTCTGAAATGTTTCATCTCACTGTTTTTTTTTAAGATTACAGGCAAAAATGTATGGATTTTTATTTATTCATTATTATAAATTTCCACAATTGCTCTTTTGAAAAGAACACTGTTTCTCTAATAGGAAATTGCTTGATGTATCTCTGATGTGGAATGTAATTTTTTCATACAGTTCTTGTAGCAACGACTGTGGTACTTTTTCAACATTTGTCCAACTTTGAATGCAAAATCAGCAGTACAAAATGATCCTGCTAGACCTTTTCTTTTATGAAGTATTAAACATATCTATGACTTCATTGTTTGCTTGCTGTTTTCAAGAAATTGTCATCATGTGATAAAATGCTTGATATTAAAACAAAGCAAAACAAAAAAAATACTATTATATATTTATTTGTATTTCATTAGGTTCCAATTATAGCTGACAGAAATATTATAATTAGGTTCTCTGAGATAGAGCTATAATGCTACTATTGAAAATCTTAAGGAAACCAATGAAATATTCATTGAGACGTTTTAGATATTCTCAAGCAACCCTTTTTAAACACCACTGAAAGTTCCTAAATATACACTCTCAGTAAAATATGAAGAAACACTGGCTTATTTTTAAAAAGTATAGGTTTAAAAATATCATAATGCTTTAAAGTTGTCAATATTTAGTCCTAATTTGTGCAACATTCAAATCGAAAAGTCTTAAAACAACAACAAAAGAACTTTTTGTCATTTCTGAACATTTTAAACCTTATAATCTACAAAGTATCAGAGACTAGGTATAAAGAAACTTTCCTTATCGAGTGGAAAGCATTTGCTGAATTCTGTTCAAGGAGGTTGTTCCTGTATGCTTTATTTTCAAAGCTTAATGACTTGTTAAATAATTGAAGGAAGTACCTTGTCATGTGAAACTTAAAACTTGTTTATTATCAGATATACAGAGTTTAATAACTGTGGTTACAATGTTTCACCAGGTTAACCTGGCAACATCAAGAGTTATAACCACAGATATTATACTCAGTGTATCTGATAATAAATAAATCTTAACTTTTAAATAATGACTTGTGTTTTCCATGGACATTTTCTAAGTTGAAAATAGCCAGAAGGAGGTAGTTGAACAATGAAGTATTTGTCAAATGGAATATTTTTTGTGTAGCATTTTTACATTATCTTATATGGTTAACTCCATTTTTTAGTAGATGGATTGACTTAAATGAAAAATAGGCAAACAATACACTGATAAAAAAAAATCAACTTATTTAGCTCCAGATAAAGAAAGTTTTAATTTTGTATACTAACTGATGGTTAAAGTCTTCAGATCTTGTAAGCCAGTGTAGCACTCAACAGTAAACTTGAAATATTGGACAATAAATATATATATATATTTTAAATTTGTAGATAAAAGTTCTAGAAATTCTATAAGAACGAAACATATTGTACCTAACAGTAAGAATCACAATAAATTGTTGATTATTTTTAGTAATTAATAAGGAAGGAGTAGAGTAATATGTGAAGTTGGTTGGTGTTAGTTGGCACGTCGTTAAATTTTGATAAAAGTTTCTTGATATAATAAACGTGAAAGGCATGGACCTGTACCACATACAGTTCATCAAGTGAGAACTTCTGATACCCGTTTTCTAATGAGCTGAATTTTATCTAATAACTTGTATTAGCAAGGGAAGCTTGTATGTGTGAAAGTAAACATATATTTGTCTACTCAAAACTGATAGACATTAAACAAATTTTGTGACCTACACTTTCTTTATTTTCATAAAAATATGCACTTTTTTTTTATCGTATTACTCAAATACAAGTCTAACAAAATAAGATAATTGTTTCTCTCCTGTCATAAAATATCAGTGCAGTACACTACACAGCACATTTTTCTCCTCATGCCTTGCATGAGCCAAATTAATGTTTGTTAGACATAGTAACTGATGTGCAGAAGAAGTGGATCCATTGGACATGCCAAGGAAGTGCTGTTGTGTTGTGGAGTTTCTCTAACTGCTGTTTTCTTTTTTGTCAAGCAGAATGATCCAGCAAGCCATGTGCCATATGACAAGCTCTCCAAGGTACAGTATTGATTTTGTGTAGTTCTCGTCTTAAAATAAAAAAGTATTTGTTACAGAACAAGGATAATGAGGTCATTTTTCTCTCTTGGTCACTCTGTGTTGTATTTTGTTACAAAGATAAAACCAGTGAAGTATTGAGTCCAAAGCAAGTAAAGTCACTTATTGATGTAGTTAAGGTATAAGTTATTAGTGTTATGGACCACAGGTGTTAGGTAAATGTATTGATTACAGAATAAAAACTGATTAAGGGACTTTTTTTTTTTTCGGTAGTGTATAATATTTGTATGTTGCAAAGCCGTTGGAGAAAGTACTGGTTATATAGACCAAGGCCTATGTCATGTAATTTTGTGCTAAGTGCTGTTTAGTTTTGTTTTTTAAACCAGGACTGTCAGTGATAAAACTTTCTGAAGAGTAAGTTTGCTTTGGTTACTGATTAATGTAAGGGAAGTATAATTATATATTTTCTTTATGTTTATAAAACCAGAGTTGATCATACTGCTGAGAATGAAACTAAGTATAATGCTGTGCTTGATTTTTTTCAGATAATTTAAATGTATTGGAAGCATTAGCTACTTGAATTATTAATTAAAAGATAAAAGCAGAATTTTTCATATATATATCATAAACAACATTGTACTTCTACTTTAACTGAAGTGGAGAAGATTAACATTATATATATAAGAACAAGTTCTAATTCAAAAATAGGGATGATAATAATGAGCACCAAAAATTGTTAACTTGTTAATATTAAATACAAAATGAATGTTTAGTTTGTAAAGTTTTTCTGAATTATGGGAACAAATCCAAAAGTACTTGGAATATTTTTCTAAACATTTATTAATGTAACAAACTTGAGGTATTTTTCTCTCCAAATCATAGGACATTTCACCTTTGTATAAATGTTCCATGGGTGTATTATTTGATTAAATGATTTTCATTTAGGACAGAAGAAGTGCATTCAATTACAGTGTGCACAACAATAGAGAGTTTTGTACTGCCCCATACATATTTCTGTCCAGTTGGACTTGTGCCATTGAAGTAAATACAAAAACGTACCATATTTGAGGATCCTAAGTTATTCTAAAAGGCTTTATTTTAATTTACCCAATCTGTAACTTATGTTTATTTTTATCATCATTTGTGCTGGTTCTAATTTTAACTCAAAATCGAAATTTAATTATTATTTTTTTACTAGATGATCTGATAACAATTTGATTTAGAGTTTTGTAGTTAAGAGCAAAACAAAACCATTTCTAATGAGCTAGAAAAATATTTAAATAGTTTGCTGAGTTGGACAGTATAAGAATATGTGAAATAACTAACTTAAGAAAAACAAATTGAATATTACAGTGATTTAAGTAATTCTTGTCTTGCTGAAAAAAATGTGAAACTGGAAGTTTAAACAGTTAAGCCATACTTTAAAAAATTTACTATTTTGCAAAGCTGAAAATTTAAAGTAATGAACAGTCTTTACTGAAGTGGTGGAAGACCTTATCTTGCTGTCATTAAAACCTCATAATAAACTTGACTAATCAATTATCTATTAGCATTGATTACATCAGTTACTATCATATAGATAATCAAATTACAATTACATCGATCGTCATGAAAATAATCAACTAATCATTATTACTTATTCCAATTATTCTATCTATCCAAATAATCAAAATGTTATGACTTGTCATTAGTATTTTCAGTTAGTTCAAGGTTATCCAACTTAATCAATTAATGTTACAACTCTTGAAAATAATCAACTAATCATTATTACTTATTCCAATTATTCTATTTATCCAAATAATCAAAATGTTATGACTTGTCATTAGTATTTTCAATTAGTTCAAGGTTATCCAACTTAATCAATTAATGTTACAACTCTTGAAAATAATCAACTAATCATTATTACTTATTCCAATTATTCTATTTATCCAAATAATCAAAATGTTATGACTTGTCATTAGTATTTTCAGTTAGTTCAAGGTTATCGAACTTAATCAATTAATGTTACAACTCTTGAAAATAATCAACTAATGAAATTCGGTGTTTCCACTTGTTTTTGATCATTCAAGCTGTCGAAATATCGTGAACATAATTGATAGCTTGATAATTAATTGATTAGAAATTCAACTAACTGTCATATATACAAAGTTTTGTGAAACAGCAGCAGTTTATTAAGTTCTTCATTACTGTGACAATTTGTTTTTTTTAAGGATACTTCTAATATAATTTATTCGTAACGAATCAAAACTATGCCTTTAAAGATAGACGTGGAAGATTTTTATTCACATTTTCAAAAATTGTGAACTAGAGGGAAAAGCTTAATGTAGATTTAAGGTTAAGCTGGCTTTTCTGTTAAGTAATTTAAAATACTGACTTGAAAATTATCCAGTTATTTCTATTCACATTTCTTTTGGAAATAGGTTAAGTAAACAACAGATTTTTGATTCTTTAGAAGTTTCTCTCATTGATAGGAAATTATTAGTCGTGAGCGGGAGCAGTTTTTGTTTTGGCTTGACTTTTATTTGTTCAAAAGTGGTGAACTGTATACCGTGATAACAGTTCATGTGGGAAGTTTGAAAGTAATGTTGTGCTTCTGGAAACACACTGTTTGTTTTCTTCTTTTTTTTAAGGTTTATCTAAACTTTATACTGTTTCATGTTGGGTTATTTTTTTATCTTTAGTTTACTTTCACCTGCAGCTCTTTTTTAGTTATTTTTACTATTAGCAACGAACAAGAAATTAAACAGGATTCTGGATAGTGTAGTGTAACAAATTTTATAAATTGGCCAAAAGGATTATATTGATGACAATATCAATTGAGTTACACCCATGGAACAATTATAATAAAAATAAGGTAAAGTTGGTAATAATAATAATAATAATTTATGTAATTTATACCTATGTTCAGGGAAAACTATTATTTTCAGGGATTACTTCATATACAGTCTCATTTCATTAAACAGAATTTTGGCAAGAAGCTAAAGTTTAGTTGTAACAAAAAGTGTTAAACATTTGTGTATAAGTTAATGGGAAATTTTGGCATGAAAACTCTGTGCTTTGTAGTATTATCTTACCAAGAAGTTTATGAAGATTTAGGAAGAAGTGACTGCTTTATGGCACCCAGTTGTGTCTTGAAGCTTTTTAAAATGTGTTCGTTGGTAAAACATGCCTGTGTTGCTGATTGAAGTCAGTACCCGTTCATGTGTTTTGGACAGTAGTGCCGTTAAATGTACAGTGATAAGTTTTTAAATGAGCTGGATGACTTGGATGGTGATGTTTAATTAATAAGCTGGTAAAGAATGAAGGAAAATGATTGTATCCAGTTTTATAACGGTGATAATTCACACTGTGGACTGTGATCCGTCATGGAGTGTTGCACTTTGCTCCAGCTTTTTATTTTTTTTATATTTTTTTATTGAATTGTATTCACTTCTGTAGTGACTTTTTTTTGGAGGCTGAAACATTATTAAGAATGGAAATTTATCAGTGTTTTATTGTTTAAAGTGATGGTTCTGAAAATAAAGTTGTTATAATTGATTACGAAGAGATCTTTTATTTATCAGATTAAAAAAAAGGACATTGAAGAATTATTTTAGTTCACCATATCAACTTCTTCAGCACAAACAAACAATTTTGATCACACAATTAGCAGAAACTTGTTAGTTTCCATCAGACTTGTTTGGAGTAAAGTAATTTTTAAGTGTGTATCTGGCATTCCCATAAAGAACCCAAGCAGTTTTTGTGGTTTCTAGTTTATCAAGTGAAGAAGATTCTTATAAACAAACTACATGCACTATTTGAGAAGTAGAAGATTTTCTTAAATCTCTAGATCCCAGTGTTTTTACTTAGATGTTTGTAAGTTTTGCTTAAGGTGAGGAGTAACTGTGAAGTTGGCTACAAATGGCTTATGAGGTAGTAGTGTAATAAAACTTAATTAGTTTGTAATCAAAATGATATAATGTTGTACTTTCACAACTTCATTAATGATCAATAAGAGGTTTAAAATATTTTAATTGAATAAAACATCGTGGAAGGGGGGGGGGTTTCATACCAGTTTCAGGAAATAAAAGAATTGGATTATCTTAGTTTCTAGCACTCGTTAATTTGCTTTGTATCAAATAATACATTTATAGAAACACATGAACCCATCATGTTCAAATGTGACCTTTCGAGGTGACCTTTCTTTAGTCTTGTATTAAACCACCATTTAAGAAACCAACCACATGTCCCTCTTCATAGACGTGATATTAAACTTCATAGCTAATTAACCAGACTAATATTAAAAACCTTATTGTTCATTCCAGTTTAAGGCCATTTTTAGAAAACTTTTCCAAATGTATGAAACTTCATAAAGTAATATTCATTAATCATTTCTCTTTATAAGCATTCTGTATTAATCAAAAACTATGTCACTGCTAAAAAATAAATAGAAACCTGTAAGTTAATCATATTTAAAAGTATTTATGAAGTAATACTTGTAATGTAATATTTGCTATAAGTATGGATTTATTGTGACATAGATAATAAACACGTGGACTGAATGAAAGTATATACTAAAACATTATTTTAGCCTGCATACGTATTGAAGCTGTTGAATGGGACACATTTAAAGTCCTTAAAAGATGAGGTTTCAAATTTTAGGAACCTTAAACTGATCTTCAATTTCGTATATAAACTAAAGAACTTTACAAATTTCAACACTTTCCCCATCCCAAATGTATAAAATAGAAGACTATTGATCCTAAAGCTGGAACATAATTAAAGTAAAACAGACTGGTACATTCAAAACTACTACAGCATCTTAATCCAGCTGGTTTTAGTTAATAAAATAAAGCTTTGCAAATCTTAAATTTAATACAACTTGCTTGGACTTCATAGAATGGAGTACAACAGTGCACTAACTCTGTTTTAAAACTTCCAAATCATCCTTGTCTGGTCAACAGAAAATGAGATGATGAGAGCCTGAGTATTAACATCAAGGAATCCGTGTCGTATGAAATGGC